AAACATTTAAAGGGAGCCATCTTGTTCCTGCCACTTGGTATGAAAAAGATTCAAGACATGACAGAATATCTCTGCAGTAGGACATACACAGTGTGATTCTTGGTTGCTCACTTACCCATAGGATAGCTTGGCATTGTCATAGGCATACCTGAAAAACACAAGGATCAGATTACAGAAACAGAAACATTTTAGACTTTAAGATGTGTTTGTTTCACATGTGCTTGTTACCAGCTTTTGTGCTTTTTGTCGCAAATGAACTTACCCATTATAATTGTTTTTATATCTGTATCATAATACACAACTAACATATGATGTTGTCTTTTTATTTAATTCACATGCTTAAAATGAAATCACTGTTACTAGTAGTAATAGTATAAAACAGCATCTGTGGTGTTCCCTATGAAAACAGACTGTTACAGTATAACTATTAACTGACACAGAAGCCAACTATTTAAACATCAGCATTCCCACTACAATATTTTTCAGCAGCACCCACAAGAGTGCAATGTTGGGTCTGTATTTATGTGCTTTAGTTGTTAAAGATAAGGTTATTCATGTTCACCTTATCCAGTGTGTTAATTTACAAGGAGCTGCTGACACTCGTAGGGCTCTGGAGGCCCAGACAGCTGTAGTAATTAATGTCAAGAACAAAATGCCTTAGCACAGAAACAGAACACAGCACAGCTGGCACATGAGCACACTGTGGTCCCTAGCAGGTACTGTACCCTGGCACAGTACTCTACAAGCCAGTGTGGTAATATCACAAATATAGTAGTGTCATAAATACCACTGGAACGTTCCTGTGGAGTAATAAGGCCCCAAATATGATGTTGCACTTCCTATTGATTGAACAGATTAGAGGCTGTAGCCTCGCAGTCCTAATCATCTTCTTCATCGTCATCAACCTTTATTTATTCAGGGAAAAAACATGTAGATTTCCAATCTCTACCTGGTTTTATTACTGGGGCTATCACTGCAGGTTTCCATTCTGCTGGCAGACACTCCTCCTCCCACACTGCATTAAACAAAGACACAATTTCCTCTAATCTAAAAACCATATCATCTTAATATTTTAAAAGCTCATAAGATAGCCCATCTCTCCCTAGAGTCGTATATGTGTCCCTCATGCTCAGGTGTAGCATCATTTTAGCACATCCTCTCAGGGTGTAAAACAAGTCTGGCTCATGGACGATACACCTGGAGACATAGTCAAGTGTTGAAATGTTTGGCAGTTGCTACTGAAAGTAGGTGCTTAGAGATAGACTCAGTGGAGGAGGAGAAGAAACAAGAGGGTGAAAAGGCAGGAAGGAATTTATTTTAAACAGTCATGATGCAGGCCAGCTAAAGGCAGGGAGAGATTGGCAAAGTGGATTTAGGGAATCAGGTCATAGTTCCTAAGAAGACAGTCAGCACTAATCTCACACCAGACCTTGTGTTGTGGTCATTAGCACAATGGACTATGTATTTTGTCCAGCTTACAGTTCCCTGGAAGGCCGCTATAGAGCCAGCTTATGAGAGGAAGAAACTGAAATACACAGAGTTAGCTATGGAGGCGGAGGAGTGTGGCTGGAAAGATGAAGTCTGCCCACTAGAGGTTGGTTGTAGGGGATTTATAGCCAAGCCAAGTCAGCTGTCTCTCTGCTAGGTGAGTTAGGTATATAAGCAGGAGCAGTATGGAGCAGGACAAAGGTGTGTGAATGGGGTAAAAATAGCTAAGTGCTTTATAAATGGCAACATATGTTAGGATTATGCCTGTTAAGATGAAGTAAACTAAAATAGGAGGACAGGCTTAGTAAAAGTGTTTGATACATGCAGCAGGCTTGAGGCCTACTTCCTGGCAAAGAGAAGGGGTGGTCCTAGGATGCTGGAACACACATTTGATTCTTCTTGGTGTTGTGGGCCCAACACAAGGAAACACCTGTTAGTGTGAGGGCACCAATCTGATGACCCTGTAGACTTGCCTTCACTCCTACACCCATACAGAACTTGTACTGGTGTTGGTGATAATATAGTTACAGACTCACTGGACTCGCTGTTGCTTATTGTGGGGCTCTAAAGATTCATGATGATGGGGGCAAAACAATGAATAAACATCATTTGAACATTGAAAAACAAGGTGCTAAAAGCAACCCTAAGCTCAATAATTCCCAATAACAAACATCTTACAGTTTGCTCTTTCATTCGACACTTCAGTTCAGTGGGTCAGATGATCTCCTCTGCTGCCCTTCCTGAATTTGACCCTTGTTTATTTTTGTGTCTCATTTCTGAGTGGGACATTTGGAGCAAAACAAACATTTTTATGCATTTACAGTAAATTATATTTTGTAGAAAAATTTGCATCACACAAAGAATAACCGATTCAGGCATCTTATCAGGACGCCTTCAGGGCACCTCCCTTTGGAGGTCTTCCAGGCATGTACAACTGGTAGGAGACCCTAGGGCAGACCCAGAACACATTGGGGAGATTATATATCTCATCTGGCCTGAGAACACCTCAGAATCCCACCAGAGGAGCTGGAACATGTCGCCAGGGAGAGGGACATCTGGACTACATTGCTGAACCTGCTGTCGGAGGTTTCTTCCCTTAAAGGGAGTTGTTCCTCTCCACTGTCACTTGCTCAAGGGGGACTTGTTCAGTTTTTCTCTATAACGCTGTAAGGTCTAGACCTTACTAAATTTCCCTCAGATCATGTTTGTTGTGAATTGATGCTATACAAATAAAACTGAATTGAACTGGAGTGAATGTAAATCATTAAGTGCAGAATATACAATGGCAAGAAAAAGTATGCGAACCTTTTGGAATTTCATGGTTTTCTGCATTAATTTGTCATAAAATGTGATCTGATCTTCATCTAAGTCAAGTGTACTGACAAATATTATGTGCCTACAAAAACAACACAAAAAATCAGATCTTTCATGTCATTATTAAACACACTGATTCAACATTCAATAGTGGAAAAAGTAAGCGAACCCCTGGAATTAATAACTGGTTGACCCCCCCTTGGCAGCAATAACCTCAAACAGGTGCTTCCTGTAGCTGTGGATCAGACCTGCACATCGTTCAGGAGGAATTTTAGCCCATTCTTCATGGCAGAACTGCTTTAGCTCCGTCATATTCTTTGGACGTCTCATGTGTATGGCTCTCTTCAAGTCATTCCATAGCATCTCTATTGGGTTGAGGTCTGGGCTCTGACTTGGCCACTCCAAAAGGCGGATTTTGTTTTTCTGAAGCCATTCTGTTGTGGACTTGCTCCAGTGTTTTGGGTCATTGTCCTGTTGCATCACCCAACTTCTACAGAGTGATTGCAAGCTGGCCAGGCCCTGATGCAGCAAAGCAGGTCCAAATCATGATGTTTCCTCCACCCTATTTTAATGTTGGGATGATGTTTTCATGATGATATGCAGTGCCCTTTTTACTCCAGATGTAGTGCTGCGTGTTCTTTTCAAATAGTTCAGTCTTAGTTTCATCAGTCCACAAAACATTTTGCCAGTATCGTTGTGGAGTGTCAATGTGCTCTTTCACAAACTTCAGGTGTGCAGCAATGTTCTTTTTATTAAGCAGCGGCTTCCTTTGCGGTGTCCTGCCATAGACACCCTGCTTGTTCAGTGTTTTACGTACCGTAGACTCATGAACATAGATGTTATCCAGTTCCAATGATGCCTTCAAATCTTTGGCTGTCACCTGAGGTTGTTTCTTTACCTCATTGATGAGTTTTCGTTATGCTCTTGGGGTCATTTTGACTGGGCGCGCACTTCTTGGTAAAGCAGCGACAGTCCCAAAGTGTCTCTATTTGTAGATTGTTTGCCTAACTGTAGACTGGTGAATTTCTAAAGTCTTTGAAATCACTTTGTAACCCTTTACAGCTTTATATACATCGACAATTCTTGATTGTAGATCCTCTGAAAGCGAGGCATGGCTCACGTAAGCATTTTCTTCTCTAAATGTTTGAGTGGTTTTTATCAGTCAAAGTAACTCCAGTCCACACCTCCAAACTCCAAATTTTCTTAACAAGACTCCAGGTATGTTAACACCTGTCTCCAATTAGCTTTTTGAGGTCATTAACTCAAGGGTTCACATACTGTACTTTTCCCACTAGCACTATGAGGTTTTTATGGTTGTTCTCAATAAAGACATGAAAGATCAGAATCTTTTCTGTGTTGTTACAGTATATTAGGCACATTATATTCATCAGTACTCTTGACTTAGATGAAGATCAGATCACATTTTATGACCAATTAATGCAGAAAACCATGAAATTCCAAAAGGTTCACATACTTTTTTCTTGCCCCTGTAGTTTTGTCTTCTCTAATTGTTCTATGTGGGATAATATTGTTACAAAATAAAATTTAAAGAAAACTTTCGGTGCTACAAACTTCCCATCATACAGTATGCTCAAAAATGAGACACACTGAGGACAAAATAAAATATATAGTAATTGATTTTATTTTTGAAACATAATGCAAGTGGCTTTTTTCAAATAAAAGAAGGTTCTTAAAAGGAATGAATGGACTGAAAAATAGTCGCTTCTGGGATTTGTAGACCAATTATCTGTTCCACCTTTTGTCTTGTACATGTTATGTTTTTGTTTTCATTGCTTGGAACTAGCTGGTTGGAATTGTTATGGCGCTTCTAAGATAGCACAAACAGCACATACAATATGTTTCATGATGGTGTTCTGTCATAGGATGGATGTTTGGCTTGATGGAAGGATGTATGGCCAGGGAATTGGATGATTTGATATGTGGTCGATTCCTTTCAAGATATGTGACACTTGATTGCAGTAATGTTTGCTCCAGCTCACCCTGCCCCTTTCTCTCTGAAGCAGTGTCAACAATTAAGCCAAGTTTAGACTTTGGATTAGGTCAACGAGGTGTCATAGAAGACTGCTAGGAGTTTCAGGTTGCAAAATAACTATTTTAAATGTTTTATAATGAGATTATAGAGTACACTAGGTGATTCTAATCCACATGGTGTCGACCATGTTATGTAGATGTTGCAGTTTCCTACCAGCTCCATACATCCCAGGCTGCATGGGTCCAATCCCTCCTCCTCCTCTCATCCTACGGTTTAGCATGGCTACTCTTTCCATGTCCTACACACACACAAACACACACAAATGAGTGGTTCATAACATAACGAGGAACACAGCAGCCTAAAAAAAAAGGAGTCCAGTTATTGCAAAGACAGCAGAAATCACAACACAGTGACTCTACACACTCTGTAATAAGATACAATCTGTGATACACAATCCATCAGGAACCAATGAATACTCATTATACACCGTACTACAGTATAAAACTTTAATGTTTCTTAAAATTGCTGCTTTGCAGTTCTATGCCTCTGTCAACCAGTCAGATTCACGGAAATGAGACAGACATGAGCTCAAAATGTAATCAGTTCATCCTTGAGTCCAACTGGACATTTGTGCCAAATTTGAACAAATTCCCACAAGGTATTCCTGACATACCCCGTTTACAATAATGGGATGGATGGACGGACGGACAACCTGAAAATATTATGGCTCCCCACAGGTGATAGCTGCAGCCAGAGGCATAATAAATCTGATGAAAACACTGACCGGGGGTCCTTGGTCCAGTACAGGATCAAACAAGTCATCAACATAGGCATCCATCTGACGGCCACGACCTGAAAACAGGTGGAGAAGAAGTTACAGGTTAGAACAATGTTTGTATGCATTGCCTGACAATGAACCCTGTGGACAAAGTGAGCCATGGACACCCCTGCTTTCATGACTACTACATCTACTATATGTACATTGTATCTATTCTCTCACCTTCAACCAAATAAATAAATAAATGAGATTTATTTAAAAATATGCAATGTGAACAATATAGAATAAGATATATAAATAATAGAAATAAAATCTACTTGTTGATATAGTATTGCAACATTCATCTTTGCATCAGATTCTGTTACAAAGATGAATGCTGATTAAGCTTTGACAAATCCACTGTGCCCAGGGCTGTCTAATAACAAACATAAAACTGGAAGCCAGTGACGACTGCAGAGCATTTAGCAGCAACAAGCTAAATATTTCCCATGAGTTACTAAAAGTTGGATTTAGAATTGTGGCGTAGCCTGAAGAAAAACCTCAAATAAATGCTAATATTGCTCTGTATCTGTTAGATGTGGAAACAGGCAAATGTTTGATAACATACTGTATCAGCTTTATAAGGTGACAGTATATCAACGTAGTATTGTGTTGACACAAGGCCTTGGCCTCAGAATCAAATAATAATGCAGGAATCAGTTAAAAGCTCCTGTCACTGTAGTTGCTACTGTAATCTTGTGGCCCATGTTACCAAGCAAATTTGCAGTTCATTGAATTACCACAAACCAAACACACAGTAAAACTCAGGATCTGGATCCCCAGGCAGCCACGTACTTGCGCTCCCTACACACTGCACCTCAGTCATACAAGCTTCTCAGAGCAAACCTTATTGGGGAAATAAACTGTACACTCTGTCCATAAGCTGTGTTGAATATTGTCAATATACTGTGTTCTGTTTAAGATATCACCCTCCCCAGGCACAGGTTTTAACAAACTTCAGTTTGGGGAAAACATTTTGTTTTGACCAACCTCTGAAGCAGAGAAATGACACTACTGTGGAAGTGCCAAAATCTGCAGTTCCTCAAATGGCCATTTGAGGCTGGCTCCAAAAGTCAATGGCCACAAACTCCCACTCACGCTGCACCTCTTTGCCCTTTTTTGGATTAGCCATATCAGGCAGAGTGAAGCGCTACCAATCTGGCAATGGCCAGACTTGATTTTCAAAACCTTCAGAAAACCAATGGGTGATGTCACAGTGGATTTGTCCACCTTTTATATACAGTCATTTGTTTTGACATGACCATTAAGGTCATCCAGTGTTAGCACAATCACAACACAATCAAGTAAAAGTAAATCCCTAGGAACTGGTGGGCTGAAGGCTGAAGGGGGCAGCCTGTTTCTCTCCCACTGGAGGTGGAAGTCCAAGGGCTCTATTTTCTTGTAAAAGAGCGCACTGATAAACTAGTGTCTAAACTCCAGGCGCAAGGTGAATATGGGCATGTTTAAAAGTGTTTTGCAGTTTCGGTGACTACAGATGCCGGACACTTTGGTGCGCAGCCAGTTGTTACCAAGTGCATTGTTGAGGAGAGACGGAATACATTATTAGAGGGAGGAATACATGGTGAGCAGGTGGAGTTGGGGCTGGCTTTAGTTATGACAAATCAAACCAGCTCATCTCATTTCCTTTAAAGAGCAGGGAGGAAACCTGACTGACTGATGTCAGGACATAGAAATACATGAGAGGATAGATTCTTTCATCTTCTCCTGCCAGTTATGTACTCCATTCCAGTGACAAAACAATTTATGTAGAAGTATTATGCCTAAATATTCACCCAGTAATCTGCTAATATCACTCTGACCCTATAACCAGCAGCAGTTATAGCATAATTGACTCACAGCTGCATCCAGTGTGTGAAATCCACAGAGATATTCCATATAACCTTATGAATGTTTCACCGTTTTTAAAATAATACAATAAAATTAAATTGTAATCATTGTGTTTGTGGTGAAACTGATTGTGGTCCACCAGAGCACACAGCCAGTGGATGTGTTGCCCACTTTATCTCCAGCTACAGCTGCTTTGAAAGCTGATCAAACCCCCTTAAAATGGAAAAATAGACAACGTACTGTATATCCTTGCGGTAGTAATGAAGGTATGTTTGGGTGAAACTTGTTCTTTTGAAGAAACTCTAAATTAACAGTGACAGCAGCCACAGTAAGGTCAGACTGACTGTACCTGCAGCACAACAGGATTATTTGGGATGTCTGCAGGGTGTTTGTTAATTATCTTGACTCGTGAGCTGCTTTCATGTGTTATTGTATGATTTTTTTAACGTGGATTTGGATTCCCAAACATGGACTGCAGATCACCTCGGGCTGCATCCTCTATGCAGGCTACAGACGGTGTGTCCTGACCCGCACAACACTGTTTGACCATAGTCATACCTACAGCCACATACTGTGGCCATTAAAATACATCATACATCCCGTGCTTCCCAGCCTATGGACTTGTCAGGAAAATTGCAAATACACCTGTGAATGCGATAAGAGGTGGTCTGAGCAGGTGTTATTATTATTGCTATTTCAGGTCAAAATGAGCACCAAAACTGCACTGCAATGGCAAACCAGCATACACATGGCCCCACATGCATTTTTCATGGCACAAAAATGCAAACACACCAATGAGCAAAAAAAAGCACCCCAGGAAAACTGCACAAGGACTGTGCTGGCAGGAAAATAGAGCCCCTACTGAACAGTTTTGGGGTTTGCACTGACATTATGTGACTGATTAAAGCTGTGACTAATGAAAAGTGATGGCACTGATGAAAACTGGACTGTGTGACACCAACCTATGGTGTTATATTTGTGCCTCATTCCTGAGCGTACAACAAGCCATTCTAAGCACAGGAAAATGCACACAGCTTATATTGTGAAGCATTACTATCACAAACAGAATAATTTAGCTTGAGCAAACAAAATCTGCTATGTGCAGAATAAATGTGGTTGCCATTCTTTGCCATTATCCATATAAGCAAACATTAATAATCTCTGAGGCTCAACTTTAGTCATTTGCCAACTCACAAATTGCAGTTCTTTGTGCATGCCACAGTGAACTGGGACTTATCTAAAGCACCTTTTCCACCTCCTGGTACCAGCTCAACTCAGCTCTACTCACCTTAATTGTTTTTCCATCAGTCAAATGTCAGGGATAGTACCTGGCACTATTTTTGGTATCACCTCCTTTGAGGTTCCAAGGAAGCCAAGGCGATACCAAATAGTGATGTTTAAACACTCCAGACCAGCAATTAGTAGGAGAATTTTGTCACTACCACACAGCCAACGATGAACCTGGATCTTTACATGTGATGATAGCAGTCACTCGTTCTTCATTCATTCATAATAGTAGCTGCTGCTCCTCTCTCATGAATTTTATAGAAGGTAAAATTTATGGTGACAGTTACTATAAAACTATATTATGTGAACCACCACATCATACATCTTATGTAGCCCTTAGGTCACTGAATGTGATAACATGAGCACAATAGCTACAGCTATGCCTGCTAAGTAGAGCTAACTAGCTGTCATGTTAGCTGGTCATCACATCTTTGAAAAGGCTGGAGTAAATTTGGAATAAGCATTACTTGGATAGATTGACCACATATTCGAAAACCAGATGGTTATGTTCTCTCCTGAAAAACCTGACATAAAATGGCATAATAACAGTCTTAGGATGAAAATTATAACAGCTTTGAGCCAGCCCTGCCACCTCCATGGGCCAGTGACTTCACGGACATTTCGGTGTCGCTGTGACAACCAGGTACACCAAGGGTGACCATCTGCAGTGGAAAATGAAGCACAAAGCACCTAGTACCAAAAGTGAGTAGAATTGAGTAGAGTCAAGTCAAGTTGAGCTAGTACCAAGCAATGGCAAAGGGTCACATGAAGGGTAATGCTTAAGAACAAAACCCCTGGAAAGTCTATCGTTACCCTTTTATTACTCAGAAGAGTGTTGGGTTTAGTGCTGTGGGGGATACTGGAAGCTACAATGATGGAGTTTTATTACTTTACAAATAGATAAAATTTGTGACTGACACATATATGCATGTATGCAAAGAGACTTTCTCTCTGATGACTTTTTAAAACTGAATCCTTGTTCTGTGTCAATACATGTACATACAAGGGTTTGAGAGACACTGGTCAGAAAAAACACTGATGTACTGTGGTGTTTGTTGTCAGTATGCAATTAAATTGAGATGGTTCATCATGCTGAGTGCTTCCTTCAGTTCTTCTGAGACCTAGCATCTCTCAAATATGGAAACAGAAAAAAAACTACTCACCCTCTATCACTCTCAACATCTCAACTGTGTGCACCCTCAGCTTTGCCTGTACACTCATCAACTCTGGCACAGTGTTACAGATGTACCATAAAACCAACCAAGTGCAGACTGGAGGAGATCAATTCTGACTCAGATCCCAGAAAAGAAAACAATAAAATCTGCTTGCCTCTGCATGGAGGCATGACAAATAGCTTATTTGTTGTTGTTGTATTTGGCCAAACAACATGAAAAAGTTGTCATTCTCAAAACAACTGTCAAGTTTACTTTTCTGATGAAGTTAGGCGTTTTAGCAGCGCGGATGGTCCATGCATACAAATGTCCACCCTAGTGGATTTGAAAGTTAAATCATGCATACTCACGTGGACCCCAATGCCATTAACACCTACCTTCCTGTGGATAATCTCTTCCCAATGGATTTCCCTGAAAAAGAGGCAGTCCAGGAGCTATTGAAGGTGCTGGTGGGATGAAGTTGTCCATACCTGTAGTTAGCATCCTGGAGAGAGACAGGGAAAGATGCGCATAAAGCTATCAAATCAAACAATTCTGGATTGACCCCACTTGTCACTGCTCTACCTGTCTCCCTGGTTGCTGAAAAGATAGTCTGAGCTTGTAGAGGAGGGCGTTCCTGGTGGTGGCAGCACTTCAGCTTCTGCACCAGCCAGCAGATCCATGACAAAGTCCGAGCCAGCCAGATCTAACCAGCCTTCATCGGTCAGAAGAGACACTGACCAGCCCTGCACCGCCTCTGACACTCCTCTGTGACACACCAGCAACACATGGAGCAGAAAAATCAAGGAGAGTGTACAATCAGACTTTAATAAGTATAGGGAGGTATAGTAAATACACTGTACGTTTAAACCTAGATGAGTACCTGAAATGGAGAAGCCATGAGGCTAGCTGTTCTCCAGTGGTCCATGACTCCACTTCAGTTGCCAGCTTGTCATCTGAAAAAAGCATCAGTAGATGTTATGCGACAATGACAACAGATACTTTGACACTGGAGCTGCCAGTAGCCAAATTAAAGCAGTTTCATGGCCAATTTTGTTTTTTGAGGAATTTGTCAGTCTCACCGTTGAAAGTGTGTACATCCAACAGCATGGCACCTTTCCTCTGGTTGGAGGTCCATTCCAGCTGGGTGGGAGGGTAGATGCGGGCAGTGGAAGCTGGAAGCTGCAGAGATGTCAGCAGCATGTGTTGGCACAGAGAGCGGTACTCCCCTGGACCATAGTCGGACACATACCTGGAAGAGGAATACTATTGACTGAGTGATGTGGCAAGTGTTTTCACACAGGGTTTAGTAACAAAATAATAAATCACACTATAGGCCTCTGGCAATACACACATTTATTTAACAATATTCTCACAAAAAAAACCTGCATTATGATAGTAAGACTTGCTATGGGGTGGATTATATTTAAAGCTATATTAAGCATTTTTGTAACCACTTAAACTCCACAGCATGATAAAAATCTAATTATGTCAGACAAATCATGGTCTTGTAAAATTAATAGCTGATGCATTACCGTACTAATACGTGTTTACAAATCAGACATGGAGCAGCATTAGCTTTCATTGGTGTCATATTTTTGGCATTAGGTTCTCTCTATAGGAAAGTGATTGTAACTTATATTGGCAATTTCAAATTCAAATTTTAACCATGGTAATTATCTGGGCAGTATACTAAGTAAAACTGATGCATTTATGTCTTGAAAATACAATAGTGCTTCGCACTCTGCTAAGAAAACATGCTCCCAACAAACAGTTGATTTACATCAGATTTTCTGAATGCGTCTACTAGTCGGACTGGATCGAGAAAGAACCATGATCCCAGTACAAACAATCCGTTTGAGACCTGATTGAGAACACACCCAGTAAAGGATATTGGTGCAGTTATTTTGGTTTGCATCTAAGTGCAATTGCTGTGGTCAAACCTGCTCAAACACACTGCACTAAGAGAGATATTCAATGAGATTCAATGGGACTAGACAAAGCAGGCCTGAAAGACCCTTAAAAACCTCATATTCATACAGTGATACAATTTAGTAAGATAGTGTACCCTCCTCTAACTCCTCTTGGCAATAGAAGGCTAATCAAAGTTTAACACTTACTTGAGCAGGGGTTTGCCCAGTGATGCTGAAGGGGTAAAGGCACTGAGACAGCAAGCCAGCAGCAGCCAGGCCCTCAGGCTGGCTGGATCCTCCTGCAGGGCCCATGTGTGGTACACTAACTGGGCTAGTATCTCGTCCCTTAGAGCTGGCCGGCTCTGTCCCTTCTCCACTATGTAGTTACCTACCATCTGCTCTTGCCAGCTACTAAGGTCCAACTCACCTGTAAACCGCAAAATCTGAGGAGAAAATAATTGAAAATTTTAAATTAGATGAATATGAATACTTTCGATGTAGAGTGTGTGTGTGTGTGGATGTGTTGTAAGCACTGGAGGTATTTTTGCAAAAGCTGAATCAGCTTTTTGTGCAATTTACAAGTAAAGAGAAGTAGACAGATTGTTACTATTTCTACTTGTCTGAGCTTAACGGGAACTTGTGCACCACTGGAAGCCTATAGGCTCTTCATTCATTTAAAGCAGCTCTTTCCCAAAAATACTCCACTACATTTACAATCATTAATTTGTTGTTTCATCTCAGGCAGTGCGTTTTCACAGGAGTAAAGCTCAAGGAAGTTAACTGTTATCTATGATTAAGTATTAATGCATGATGGCTGAAAGTCTGTGGGGAGTGAACATGGTGTATTTGGAGAAGAATTGTGTCACTTGTTTGTTTTTGATAAATATGTATCCAAGCTCACTAGTCAGTGAGCTTCAGTTCTCAAAATTATAAATAGTGGAACTATTATTATTACCTCTGCCAAGGAGGTTATGTTTTTGGTTCCCTGTGTGCTTGTTGGTTAGCAAGATTATGGACAGACGGATGGATAGTGGATCAGCATACTTGGTCCAGGGACCAAGTATGCTGATCCAGGGACCAACCCTAGAAGAGATTAAATTTTGGTTGAATCTCATTTAACACAGTCTAATCACTCCTTTATACCAGTTTATAAATCTCCAGGGCAGTTCTGACATCTTCAGGCTCCAGAGGTGTGAGGGGTCTTTGAAGAGGGCATCCCTGAGGCTGGCACCATGTATCCTAAGGAGGACACAACATGAGGTTATTTATAGATCCAGAGTATTTAAAGGGAAAACCCTTTGTACTGGACCAGACTGTGTGTCATCAAAAGGAGCGGCAAAAATCACTGTAAGTAGTTTGAGGGTAATTAGGTTGTAAATGCTCTGCAGTTTGTCAAATATCTCTCACACCTGTGGAAGATTAGCAGAGCCCTTACAACTGTTAGAACCGTTTGTATGGTTAGGGAACATTTTTGATAATTTTGCATTAGTGTAGTGAATTCTAAACAGAATGTTTAGCCTAGGGTTAGGGTTACACTGTGCATGATACAGCTGTGTCAAACACATATGGAGGTTGAGGATATTGAACTTTATCATGTGTTCCCATTTATTGTCAGTGAGCATAAAGTCTTTCTCCCACATGTTTTTGACATGAGTCAGAGGGCTTGGGTCGGCTGGAGTGAGTGAGCTGTATATGACATAAGCTGTACACTTTTAATGTGAATTGAGCTCCAAGAGGTCATCAAGTGGAGCCTTATATTACAGGTGATTTATGGTGTATATAACCTTTGCAGCCCATAGACTGAAAGTTGGATCAGTCAATGAAGGGACAAGGAAGGACCCTAAGGAAAAACAAAAGGTTTTCTGAATTGGGTGTCCATATTCTGAGGGACTAAACAAATAACATTTCTACTAATACTTGTAGCTAAGGTAGCTTGGCAGAGAAAGTGAATGTAGAGAAAAATGTGAAAAGCTAATGTTCCACACAAATTTAAAAAATGAGATATATTTTTATCCTTGTTAGGTGTCAAATCTAAAATTTTTCCTAATGTTACAGACTCAATAATATTTGGGCCTGTAACAAAAAGTTGGAGAGAGTTATGGACTCCATTTTTTGGGGAGTTGTAACACAATTTTTCCATGCTTTGCAATCTTGGAGGAAAGAAATCAAGCTCTGTGAATATTTTATCCCTTTAGAGGATGGAAATGCACTGAAAGAGGTATAAAATATTGACAAAACCACCTTTGGATCATCTCTGAGGTCACATTTCTGGAGAAGTGAGAAAAAGGTTGGGGCATATATGTCACCAACAGTTTTTCTCAGTCACTTTCATGCATTCCTGGATCAGAAATGAAGTTCTCCCAACTATTCATTCATCCTCCACATCCAATTTCTCATACTTTTTAACAAATTGTGAATTCTTAGGCACATTCATCCAAATGATTATGTCCAGGTGTCTGTTGTTTTCTACATTATCAGTTGCTTATATCATGTTGATCAAAATATAATATATGGTTTCTGCTGAATAGTCTGACTTCCCAAAACAGCTAGTTCATTGCAAATGTCATTAAATGCAAAATGGGTGAACTAGTTGTCTTTAGTATCTGTCAGGTATATTTCTATACAGCTCTGTTAGACCTTTTTTGCAAATGTGTCTGAACTGTTGAACTGCTCTCAGGATAATCTTGACTTTCACTAATGGAGAAGAATGTGTATAGTGTTAGTTCAACCAATGATCAACCAGTTCTCTATGGTAAAATAGCTCAGAGGTGCATCTCATGAAGCTTCAATTGGTAAGCATATATAGACAGAGAACAACACTGTTAAAAGTAGAGAAATGCATTTCCTGTCGAAAATACGTGTGGATGCTGATGTGCTGAAGGATCGCCCTGAAAATGCCTTAAATCAATTGCTGAAACAGCTGAAGGATGAGAAGAAATGGCTGAAGTTCTTTGTTGAAGTAGTTGAAGGTTGAGAAAAAATGGCTGAAGTTCTTTGTTGAAATAGCTGAAGGATGACATGCAATGTTGAACAACTGAACATTTAGATACCAGAACAGTATTTGTAGATGAAAGTATGCAGGAGTTATTAAGTGCCAAAAAAATGTTGAAAAAAAGCTGAATTTCTTAAAAAGTATAAAGGCTATTAAAAAATAAATACAAACAGGAATGTCCTTAAAACGCTGAACATTTAAGTACCACAATGGTGTTTGTAGCTGAAAGTATATTGAAGTTATTAAGATGTGAAAATTTTGCCCATTCATTTGAAAATTTTTCATTCATTTGAATGGGGCAAAATTTGATGAAAAATGATGAATATTGCATAAAGTATAAATAAGAAAGTATAAATAAGTATATGTAAGTATAAATGTTACAAACAAGAAAAATACAAGC